CTTTGACTGCTCAGCGCACAAAGGATCCAATTCCCTACTCAGCACTTGTCCTACACAGACAGAATTGCCCAAGGCTTTATGAGTGGTCAATGCTAGACAGTGTTGCCATGGCTTTTCTCTTCCCTTCTTCAGGAGACGGTACTGATGATGGAACAGATCCTCACCCATCAGTGATGCCAACCTCACAGTCTAGAGGTGAGGAGAAAAGCTTTCAGGCTTCCCCTTCTGACGACAGCTTGCAGTAAGCAGGTTCCAGGGAGCACTGCAGATACCCAAGCAGAGAAGAGTACACGTGCCTGGGTTTCTCTGGGCTCTTTTCCCATGGGAGAAAAAATTATACAGACCATGATCTTGAAAAATCTTCCATTCTTCCATCTTTCCCTGGTAGTCTATGTTGTAAAGGAAATGTGTTGGGGAAGATTAGGGCAGGCTGCTCATTCCATGCTTGGTGCTTTTGCCTCTTGTGCCGCTGGTTGGATTGTACAGTACAAGGTAATCCATGCAAAGGGGTGCCCAAGGCCCTGCAGGGAGCTGTTCCTGAGGCTGTTGGAGCTTTGGCAGGGAGGGATGTGGGGCACAGCCCAGCAGGGAGAGGCCAGGGGCCATGGCTGTGTACCAGGGGGCAGACTGTGCCTGTCATCCTCGACTCCCAGCCTGATACTGGGGAGGGATGTGCTCAGCATCCCCAGAGTCACCTCCCCATCCTGATCATCCAGCTTTGGGAAAGACTTTGTGCCTCTGGCTTCTACCCACATGAGCTGGGCCCAAGGCAACTGTGAGGGAGTGCAGATTTGGTAAGGAGAAGTCCAAGAGTAGGGTGTGAGAGAAGGAGTGTGATAGGAAGACCACAAAATTCATCAAGGCTTTTTGAGCCGTCAATGGTAAGCAGTGCTGCCATGTCTCTTGTCTGTCATTTTTCAGGAAACAATACTGGTAATGAGACAGCTACTGAGCCACCAGATGTGCCACCAACAGAACCTTCAGGTAAGGAGAAAAGCTTTCAGGCTTCCCCTTCTGGGGACAGCTTGCAGTAAGCAGGTTCCAGGGAGCACTGCAGATACCCAAGCAGGGAGGAGTTCCCCTCTCTGGGTTTCTCTTGAGTTCTCCCATTGTAGGCAAAGTTACCCAGACCATGATCTTGAAAGATCTTCCACTCTTCCCTCTTTCCATGCTGATCTCTTTGTAAAGCAAATGTTTTGTGGAAGATTAGAGCAGGCTGCTCTTTCCATGCTTGGTGCCTTTGCCTGTCGCACCAGGCCTGGATACAAGGTGATCCTTGCAAAGGGGTGCCCAAGGCCCTGCAGGGAACTGTTCCTGAGGCTGTTGGAGCATGGGCAGGGAGGGATGTGGGGCACAGCCCAGCAGGGAGAGGCCAGGGGCCGTGGCTGGGCACCACAGGGCAGATTGTGCCTGTCATCCTCGACTCCCAGCCTGATGCTGGGGAGGGATGTGCTCAGCATCCCCAGAGTCACCTCCCCATCCTGATCATCCAGCTTTGGGAAAGTCTTTGTGCCTCTGGCTTCCAGCCACCTGAGCTGGGCCCAAGGCAACTGTGAGGGAGTGCAGATTTGGTAAGGAGAAGTCCAAGAGTAGGGTGTGAGAGAAGGAGTGTGAGAGGAAGACCACAGAATTCATCAAGGCTTTTTCAGCCGTCAATGCTAGGCACTGCTGCCATGTCTCTTGTCTTTCATTTTTCAGGAAACAATACTGGTAATGAGACAGCTACTGAGTCACCAGATGTGCCACCAACACAACCTTCAGGTAAGGAGGAAAGCTTTCAGGCTTCCCCTTCCGGGGACAGCTTGCAGTAAGCAGGTTCCAGGGAGCACTGCAGATACCCAAGCAGGGATGAGTTCCCTGCCTGGGTTTCTCTGAGCTATACTCCCACTGGAGAACAAGTTACGTAGACCATGATCTTGAAAAATCTTCCATTCTTCCATCTTTCCCTGCTGGTCTTTGCTGTAAAGCAAATATGTTGGCGAAGATTAGGGGAGGCTGCTGATTCCATGCTTGGTGCCTTTGCCTCCTGTGCCGCTGGGTGGATTGCCGGGTACAAGGGGTTCCATGCAAAAGGGTGCCCAAGGTCCTGCAGGGAGCTGTTCCTGAGGCTGCTGGAGCATGGGAAGGGAGGGATGTGGGGCACAGCCCAGCAGGGAGAGGTCAGGGGCCATGGCTGGGCACCACAGTGCAGACTGTGCCTGTCATCCTTGATTCCCAGCCTGATGCTGGGGAGGGATGTGTTCAGCATCCCCAGCATCACGTCCCCATCCTGATCATCCAGCTTTGGGAAAGTCTTTGTGCCTCTGGCTTCCAGCCACCTGAACCTGTGCCAAATGCCAGCATGGGAGATTGCAGATGTGGTAAGAAGGAGTCCAAGAGCAGGGTGTGAGAGAAGGACTATGAGAGAAAGAGCAGAGAATTCATCAAGGCTTTTTGGAGAGTCGATGCTTGGCAGTGCTGCCATGTCTCTTGTCTGTCATTTTTCAGGAAACAATACTGATAATGAGACAGCTACTGAGCCACCAGAGGTGCCACCAACAGAACCTTCAGGTAAGGAGTAAAGCTTTCAGGCTTCCCCTTCTGGGGACAGTTTGCAGCTTGCAGGGAGCACTGCAGATACCCAGGGAGTGGGGAGTTCCCCTGCCTGGGTTTCTCTTGAGTTCTCCCATTGTAGGCAAAGTTACCCAGACCATGATCTTGAAAAATCTTCCACTCTTCCCTCTTTCCATGCTGATCTCATTGTAAAGCAAATGTGTGGGGGAAGATTAGAGCAGGCTGCTCTTTCCATGCTTGGTGCCTTTGCCTGTCGCACCAGGCATGGATACAAGGTGATCCTCTCAAAGGGGTGTCCAAGGCCCTGCAGGCCCTGGAGGGAGCTGTTCCTGAGGCTGCTGGAGCTTTGGCAGGGAGGGGTGTGGGGCACAGCCCAGCAGGGAGAAGCCAGAGGGGCCCTGGCTCTGCACCAGCAGATGTGCTAAGGAGGAGTTCAAGAGTAGGGTGTGAAAGAAGATCTGTGAGAGAAAGGACACAGAGTTGCCCTTTTTTTTTTTGAAGAGTCAATGCTAGGCAGTGCTGCCATGTCTCTTGTCTTCCCTTTTCCAGGAAACAATACTGATAATGAGACAGCTACTGAGCCACCAGAAGTGCCACCAACAGAACCTTCAGGTAAGGAGAAAAGCTTTCAGGCTTCCCGTTCTGCGGACAGCTTGCAGTAAGCAGGTTCCAGGGAGCACTGCAGATACCCAAGGAGTGGGGAGTTCCCCTGCCTGGGTTTCTCTTAAGTCTTTTCCCATGTGAGACAAAGTTATCCAGATCCTGGCTGTGTATAAGTTCTTCTCTTCCATTTTTCCTTGCTGGTCTTGGTTGTAAAGGAAATTTGTTGGAGAAGATTAGGCCAGGCTGCTGATTCCATGCTTGGTGCCTTTACCTCCTGTGCCACTGGGTTGATTGCTGGGTACAAGGGGTTCCATGTAAAGAGGTGCTCAAGGCCCTGCAGGGAGCTGTTCCTGTGGCTGCTGGAGCTTTGGCAGGGAGGGATGTGGGGCACAGCCAAGCAGGGAGCCCAGGGGCCATGGCTGGGCACCACAGGGCAGACTGTGCCTGTCATCCTCGACTCCCAGCCTGATGCTGGGGAGGGATGTGCTCAGCATCCCCAGCATCACATCCCCATCACGGTGGCACAGCTTTGGGAAAGACTTTGTGCCTCTGGCTTCCAGCCACCTGAACCTGTGCCAAATGCCAGCATGGGAGATTGCAGATGTGGTAAGAAGGAGTCCAAGAGCAGGGTGTTAGAGAAGGACTATGAGAGAAAGAGCAGAGAATTCATCAAGGCTTTTTGGACAGTCGTTGCTTGGCAGTGCTGCCATGTGTCTTGTCTTCCCTTTTCCAGGAAACAATACTGATAATGAGACAGCTACTGAGCCACCAGCGGTGCCACCAACAGAACCTTCAGGTAAGGAGAGAAGCTTTCAGGCTTCCCCTTCTGGGGACAGCTTGCAGTAAGCAGGTTCCAGGGAGCACTGCAGATACCCAAGCAGGGAGGAGTTCCCCTGCCTGGGTTTCTCTGAGTTCTTCTCTCACTGGAGACAAAGTTAGCTAGACCATGATCTTGAAAAATCTTCCATTCTTCCATCTTTCCCTGCTGGTCTTTGTTTTGAAAGAATTGTTTTGGGGAAGGTTAGGGCAGGCAGCTGATTCCATGCTTGGTGCCTTTGCCTCCTGTGCCACTGGGTGCATTATGGGGTACAATGGGTTCTATGTAAAGAGGTGCCCCAGGCCCTGCAGTTCCTGAGGCTGTTGGAGCTTTGGCAGGGAGGGATGTGGGGCACAGCCCAGCAGGGAGAGGCCAGGGGCCATGGCTGGACACCATGGGGCAGACTGTGTCTGTCATCCTTGATTCCCAGCCTGATGCTGGGTAGCCCCTAGCAGAAGGGTCAAAGCTCCTGTTGGGATCACCCTGAGGAGGTGCAGCCTCCTCCGTCCCCCAGCTCTTCCTCCATGGTGGGCTTGCACACGCTCATCCCTCCTACCAGCACCCCACCTCCCCATCACGATGGCCAAGCTTTGGGAAACCCTTTGTGCCCCTGGCTTCCAGCCATGAGCTTGTGCCCAAGGCCAGTATGAGGGAGTGCAGATGTGTAGGCTGTGCCCAGGATGATCGGCCTAGACACTGCTGATGAGCATGTAGCAGAAGAAGCATTCCTATAATAGAAATCGCCTGCTGTCAGAATCTGTTACAGCACAGGAGTGTGTGTTAGCAAATGCAGTCATCCTTCCACTGCTCTGGAGGAGAACAGATAGAGTTTTAAAGGATGGTCTGGCAGTGCTGAGTGCAGAGGCTATGTGGTGGTGCCTGGGATGCCTCAGAGCCTGCTCTGAAAGCCAGTGCTACTGCAAGGAGCCTACAACTCAGCATTTGTCACGTGGAGGGGAAAGGCAGGGAAGGTACAGAACTGCTGCTGGTAAGGAGGACTCCAAGAGTAGGGTGCGAGAGAAGGACTATGGGAGAGAAACACAATTCCCCAAAGCCTTTTGAGCCTTCAATGCTTGGCACTGCTGCCATGTCTCTTGTCTTCCCTTTTCCAGGAAACAATACTGATAATGAGACAGCTACTGAGCCACCAGAGGTGCCACCAACAGAACCTTCAGGTAAGGAGAAAAGCTTTCAGGCTTCCCCTTCTGGGGACAGCTTGCAGTAAGCAGGTTCCAGGGAGCACTGCAGATACCCAAGCAGGGAGGAGTTCCCCTGCCTGGGTTTCTCTGAGTTCTTCTCCTATTGGAGACAAAGTTAGCTAGACCATGATCTTGAAAAATCTTCCATTCTTCCATCTTTCCCTTCTGGTCGTTGTTGTAAAGCAAATGTGTTGGGGAAGATTAGGGCAGGCTGCTGATTTGATGCTTGGTGCCTTTCCCTCCTGTGCCGGTGGGTGGATTGCAGGGTACAAGGGGTTCCATGCAAAAGGGTGCCCAAGGCCTTGCAGGGAGCTGTTCCTGAGGCTGTTGGAGCTTTGGCAGGGAGGGATGTGGGGCACAGCCCAGCAGGGAGAGGTCAGGGGCCATGGCTGGGAACCACAGTGCAGACTGTGCCTGTCGTCCTCGACTCCCAGCCTGATGCTGGGGAGGGATGTGCTCAGCATCCCCAGTCACCTCCCCATCCTGATCATCCAGCTTTGGGAAAGACTTTGTGCCTCTGGCTTCCAGCCACATGAGCCTGTGCCAAAGGCCACTGTGAGGGAGTGCAGATGTGGGAAGGAGGAGTCCAATAGCAGGGTATGAGAGGAAGACCACAGAATTCATCATGGCTTTTTGAACCGTCAATGGTAGGCAGTGCTGCCATGTGTCTTGTCTTTCATTTTTCAGGAAACAATACTGATAATGAGACAGCTACTGAGCCACCAGAGGTGCCACCAACACAACCTTCAGGTAAGGAGAGAAGTTTTCAGGCTTCCCCTTCCGGGGACAGCTTGCAGTAAGCAGGTTCCAGGGAGCACTGCAGATACCTAGCAAGGAAGAGTTCCCTGCCTGGGTTTCTCTGAGCTCTTCTCACTGGAGAACAAGTTATGTGGACCATGATCTTGAAAAATCTTCCATTCTTCCATCTTTCCCTGCTGGTCTTTGTTGTAAAGGAAATGTATTGCGGAAGGTTAGGGCAGGCTGCTGATTCCATGCTTGGTGCCTTTGCCTCCTGTGCCGCTGGTTGGATTGCGGGGTACAAGGGGTTCCATGCAAAAGGGTGCCCAAGGCCCTGCAGGGAGCTGTTCCTGAGGCTGTTGGAGCTTGGGCAGGGAGGGATGTGGGGCACAGCCCAGCAGGGAGAGGTCAGAGGCTTAGCTGGTCACCACAGGGCAGGTGGTGCCTGTCATCCTTGATTCCCAGCCTGATGCTGGGGAGCGATGTGCTCAGCATCCCCAGCATCACGTCCCCATCATGATGGCCGAGCTTTGGGAAAGTCTTTGTGCCTCTGGCTTCCAGCCACATGATCTGTACCCAAGGCCACTGTGAGGGAGTGCAGATGTGCTAAGGAGGAGTTCAAGAGTAGGGTGTGAAAGAAGATCTGTGAGAGAAAGGACACAGAGTTGCCCTTTTTTTTTTTGAAGAGTCAATGCTAGGCACTGCTGCCATGTCTCTTGACTTCCCTTTTCCAGGAAACAATACTGATAATGAGACAGCTACTGAGCCACCAGAGGTGCCACCAACAGAACCTTCAGGTAAGGAGAAAAGCTTTCAGGCTTCCCGTTCTGGGGACAGCTTGCAGTAAGCAGGTTCCAGGGAGCACTGCAGATACCCAAGGAGTGGGGAGTTCCCCTGCCTGGGTTTCTTTGAATTCTTCTCCAATGTGAGACAAAGTTATCCAGATCCTGGCTGTGTATAAGTTCTTCTCTTCCATTTTTCCTTGCTGGTCTTGGTTGTAAAGGAAATTTGTTGGAGAAGAGTAGGCCAGGCTGCTGAATCCATGCTTGGTGCCTTTACCTACTGTGCCACTGGGTTGATTGCTGGGTACAAGGGGTTCCATGTAAAGAGGTGCTCAAGACCCTGCAGGGAGCTGTTCCTGTGGCTGCTGGAGCTTTGGCAGGGAGGGATGTGGGGCACAGCCCAGCAGGGAGCCCAGGGGCCATGGCTGGGCACCACAGGGCAGACTGTGCCTGTCATCCTTGACTCCCAGCCTGATGCTGGGGAGCGATGTGCTCAGCATCCCCAGCATCACATCCCCATCACGGTGGCCCAGCTTTGGGAAAGTCTTTGTGCCTCTGGCTTCCAGCCACCTGAACCTGTGCCAAATGCCAGCATGGGAGATTGGAGATGTGGTAAGAAGGAGTCCAAGAGCAGGGTGTGAGAGAAGGACTATGAGAGAAAGAGCAGAGAATTCATCAAGGCTTTTTGGAGAGTCGATGCTTGGCAGTGCTGCCATGTCTCTTGTCTGTCATTTTTCAGGAAACAATACTGATAATGAGACAGCTACTGAGCCACCAGAGGTGCCACCAACAGAACCTTCAGGTAAGGAGAGAAGTTTTCAGGCTTCCCCTTCTGGGGACAGCTTGCAGCTTGCAGGGAGCACTGCAGATACCAAAGCAGGGAGGAGTTCCCTGCCTGGGTTTTTCTGAGCTATACTCCCACTGGAGAACAAGTTATGTAGACCATGATCTTGAAAAATCTTCCATTCTTCCATCTTTCTCTGCTGGTCTTTGCTGTAAAGCAAATATGTTGGCGAAGATTAGGGCACGCTGCTGATTCCTTGGTGCCTTTGCCTCCTGTGATGGTGGTTGGATTGTGGGGTACAAGGGGTTCCATGGAAAAGGGTGCCCAAGGCCCTGCAGGGAGCTGTTCCTGAGGCTGCTGGAGCATGGGAAGGGAGGGATGTGGGGCACAGCCCAGCAGGGAGAGGTCAGCGGCCATGGCTGTGTACCAGGGGGCAGATTGTGCCTGTCATCCTCGACTCCCAGCCTGATGCTGGGGAAGGATGTGCTCAGCATCCCCAGAGTCACCTCCCCATCCTGATCATCCAGCTTTGGGAAAGTCTTTCTGCCTCTGGCTTCTACCCACATGAGCTGGGCCCAAGGCAACTGTGAGGGAGTGCAGATTTGGTAAGGAGAAGTCCAAGAGTAGGGTGTGAGAGAAGGAGTTTGAGAGGAAGACCACAGAATTCATCAAGGCTTTTTGAGCCGTCAACGCTTGGCACTGCTGCCATATCTCTTGTGTTTCATTTTTCAGGAAACAATACTGGTAATGAGACAGCTACTGAGCCACCAGAGGTGCCACCAACACAACCTTCAGGTAAGGAGAAAAGCTTTCAGGCTTCCCCTTCTGGGGACAGCTTGCAGTAAGCAGGTTCCAGGGAGCACTGCAGATACCCAAGCAGGGAGGAGTTCCCCTCTCTGGGTTTCTCTTGAGTTCTCCCATTGTAGGCAAAGTTACCCAGACCATGATCTTGAAAAATCTTCCACTCTTCCCTCTTTCCATGCTGATCTCTTTGTAAAGCAAATGTGTTGGGGAAGATTAGGCCAGGCTTCTCCTTCCATGCTTGGTGCCTTTGCCTGTCGCACCAGGCATGGATACAAGGTGATCCTCTCAAAGGGGTGCCCAAGGCCCTGCAGGGAGCTGTTCCTGAGGCTGTTGGAGCATGGGCAGGGAGGGATGTGGGGCACAGCCCAGCAGGGAGAGGCCAGGGGCCGTGGCTGGGCACCACAGGGCAGATTGTGCCTGTCATCCTTGATTCCCAGCCTGTTGCTGGGGAGGGATGTGCTCAGCATCCCCAGAGTCACCTCCCCATCCTGATCACCCAGCTTTGGGGAAGTCTTTGTGCCTCTGGCTTCCAGCCACATGAGCTGGCCCCAAGGCAACTGTGAGGGAGTGCAGATTTGGTAAGGAGAAGTCCAAGAGCAGGGTATGAGAGAAGGAGTGTGAGAGGAAGACCACAGAATTCATCAAGGCTTTTTGAGCCGTCAGTGCTTGGCAGTGCTGCCATGTGTCTTGTCTTTCATTTTTCAGGAAACAATACTGGTAATGAGACAGCTACTGAGCCACCAGAGGTGCCACCAACAGAACCTTCAGGTAAGGAGGAAAGCTTTCAGGCTTCCCCTTCCGGGGACAGCTTGCAGTAAGCAGGTTCCAGGGAGCACTGCAGATACCTAGCAAGGAAGAGTTCCCTGCCTGGGTTTCTCTGAGCTCTTCTCACTGGAGAACAAGTTATGTGGACCATGATCTTGAAAATCTTCCATTCTTCCATCTTTCCCTGCTGGTCTTTGTTGTAAAGGAAATGTGTTGGGGAAGGTTAGGGCAGGCTGCTGATTTGATGCTTGGTGCCTTTCCCTCCTGTGCCGGTGGGTGGATTGCAGGGTACAAGGGGTTCCATGCAAAAGGGTGCCCAAGGCCCTGCAGGGAGCTGTTCCTGAGGCGGCTGGAGCATGGGCAGGGAGGGATGTGGGGCACAGCCCAGCAGGGAGAAGCCAGAGGGGCCATGGCTGGGCACCAAGGGACAGATTTTGCCTGTCATCCTTGATTCCCAGCCTGATGCTGGGGAGCGATGTGCTCAGCATCCCCAGCGTTACGTCCCCATCATGATGGCCCAGCTTTGGGAAAGTCTTTGTGCCTCTGGCTTCCAGCCACCTGAACCTTTGCCAAATGCCAGCATGGGAGATTGCAGATGTGGTAAGGAGAAGTCCAAGAGCAGGGTGTGAGAGAAGGACTATGAGAGAAAGAGCAGAGAATTCATCAAGGCTTTTTGGAGAGTCGATGCTAGGCAGTGCTGCCATGTCTCTTGTCTTTCCTTTTTCAGGAAACAATACTGATAATGAGACAGCTACTGAGCCACCAAAGGTGCCACCAACAGAACCTTCAGGTAGGGAGAAAAGCTTTCAGGCTTCCCCTTCTGGGGACAGCTTGCAGCTTGCAGGGAGCACTGCAGATACCCAAGCAGGGAGGAGTTCCCCTGCCTGGGTTTCTCTTAAGTCTTTTCCCATGTGAGACAAAGTTATCCAGATCCTGGCTGTGTATAAGTTCTTCTCTTCCATTTTTCCTTGCTGGTCTTGGTTGTAAAGGAAATGAGTTGGGGAAGATTAGGCCAGGCTGCTCCTTCCATGCTTGGAGCCTTTGCCTCCTGTGTCGGAGGGCATGGCTTGCAGGGTACAAGGGGTTCCATGCAAAAGGGTGCCCAAGGCCCTGCAGGGAGCTGTTCCTGAGGCTGCTGGAGCTTTGGCAGGGAGGGATGTGGGGCACAGCCCAGCAGGGAGAAGCCAGAGGGGCCCTGGCTCTGCACCACGGGGCAGATTGTGCCTGTCATCCTTGATTCCCAGCCTTATGCTGGGGAGGGATGTGTTCAGCATCCCCAGCATCACGTCCCCATCACGGTGGCCCAGCTTTGGGAAAGTCTTTGTGCCTCTGGCTTCCAGCCACCTGAACCTGTGCCAAATGCCAGCATGGGAGATTGGAGATGTGGTAAGAAGGAGTCCAAGAGCAGGGTGTGAGAGAAGGACTATGAGAGAAAGAGCAGAGAATTCATCAAGGTTTTTTGGAGAGTCGATGCTTAGCAGTGCTGCCATGTCTCTTGTCTTTCATTTTTCAGGAAACAATACTGATAATGAGACAGCTACTGAGCCACCAGAGGTGCCACCAACAGAACCTTCAGGTAAGGAGAAAAGCTTTCATGCTTCCCCTTCTGGGGATAGCTTGCAGCTTGCAGGGAGCACTGCAGATACCAAAGCAGGGAGGAGTTCCCCTGCCTGGGTTTCTCTTGAGTTCTCCCATTGCAGACAAAGTTACCCAGACCATGATCTTGAAAAATCTTCCACTCTTCCCTCTTTCCATGCTGATCTCTTTGTAAAGCAAATGTGTGGGGGAAGATTAGAGCAGGCTGCTCTTTCCATGCTTGGTGCCTTTGCCTGTCGCACCAGGCCTGGGTACAAGGTGATCCTCTCAAAGGGGTGCCCAAGGCCCTGCAGGGAGCTGTTCCTGAGGCTGCTGGAGCTTTGGCAGGGAGGGGTGTGGGGCACAGCCCAGCAGGGAGAAGCCAGAGGGGCCATGGCTGGGCACCACGGGGCAGATTGTGCCTGTCATCCTCCACTCCCAGCCTGATGCTGGGGAGGGATGTGCTCAGCATCCCCAGCATCACGTCCCCATCCTGATCATCCAGCTTTTGGAAAGACTTTGTGCCTCTGGCTTCCAGCCACCTGAACCTGTGCCAAATGCCAGCATGGGAGATTGCAGATGTGGTAAGGAGAAGTCAAAGAGCAGGGTGTGAGAGAAGGACTATGAGAGAGAAACAGAATTCCCCAAGGCTTTTTGGAGAGTCGATGCTTGGCAGTGCTGCCATGTCTCTTGTCTTCCATTTTTCAGGAAACAATACTGATAATGAGACAGCTACTGAGCCACCAGTGGTGCCACCAACGCAACCTTCAGGTAAGGAGAGAAGTTTTCAGGCTTCCCCTTCTGGGGACAGCTGGATGTAAGCAGGTTCCAGGGAGCACTGCAGATACCCAGGGAGTGGGGAGTTCCCCTGCCTGGGTTTCTCTTGAGTTCTCCCATTGTAGGCAAAGTTACCCAGACCATGATCTTGAAAAATCTTCCACTCTTCCCTCTTTCCATGCTGATCTCTTTGTAAAGCAAATGTGTGGGGGAAGATTAGGCCAGGCTTCTCCTTCCATGCTTGGAGCCTTTGCCTCTCGTGTCGGAGGGCATGGCTTGCGGGGTACAAGGGGTTCCATGGAAAAGGGTGCCCAAGGCCCTGCAGGGAGCTGTTCCTGAGGCTGCTGGAGCTTTGGCAGGGAGGGATGTGGGGCACAGCCCAGCAGGGAGAAGCCAGTGGGGCCATGGGTCTGCACCATGGGGCAGATTGTGCCTGTCATCCTTGATTCCCAGCCTTATGCTGGGGAGGGATGTGCTCAGCATCCCCGGCATTACGTCCCCATCTGATCATCCAGCTTTGGGAAAGACTTTGTGCCTCTGGCTTCCAGCCACATGAGCCTGTGCCAAATGCCAGCATGGGAGACTGCAGATGTGGTAAGGAGAAGTCCAAGAGCAGGGCGTGCGAGAAGGAGTTTGAGAGGAAGACCACAGAATTCATCAAGGCTTTTTGGAGGGTCGATGCTTGGCAGTGCTGCCATGTCTCTTGTCTTCCATTTTTCAGGAAACAATACTGATAATGAGACAGCTACTAAGCCACCAGTGGTGCCACCAACGCAACCTTCAGGTAAGGAGAGAAGTTTTCAGGCTTCCCCTTCTGGGGACAGCTTGCAGTAAGCAGGTTCCAGGGAGCACTGCAGATAACCAGGGAGTGGGGAGTTCCCCTGCCTGGGTTTCTCAGAGTTCTCCCATAGGAGACAAAGTTTCGCAGACCATGACCTTGAAAAATTTTCAACTCTTCCATCTTTTCCTGCTGGTCTTTGTTGTAAAGTGTTCGGGAAGGTTAGGGCAGGCTGCTGATTCCATGCTTGGTGCCTTTGCCTGTCGCACCAGGCCTGGGTACAAGGTGATCCTTGCAAAGAGATGCCCAAGGCCGTGCAAGAACAACTGTTCCTGAGGCTGTTGGGGCAGGGGCAGGGAGGGGTGTGGGGCACAGCCCAGAATGGATAGGCCAGGGGCCACGGCTCTGGCGTACGGAGCAGGCCATGCCTGTCGTCCTCCACTCCCAGCTTGATGATTTTTGAACAGACAATGCTTGGCTGTGCTGCCATGTCTCTTCTCTTCCTTTCTTCCGATAACAGTACTCTAAATGGAACAGTTCCTGATGCAACATACATGCCTACCTCAGCACCTACATGTAAATAGCAAATATGCTCATGATGCATTTTCTAGGCACTGCTTGGAATAACCAAATCCTTGTGAGCTTTGTAGGCTCCTCAGACAGGAAGGAGTTCCCCTCCCTTGGGTTTCCCATATTCCTCTTCCAATAGAGACAAAGCTGACCAGATGGTGGCCATGAATATCCTCCACTCTTCCCTCTTTTCCTGCTGGCCTTTGCTGCAGGGAGAATGTGTTGGGGAAGATTGCTGGAGGTTGCTTTTTTTGTGCTCGTTGCCTTTGCCTCTTTCAGCAGGCAAGGATACAAGAGAATCTCTGCAAAGAGGTGACCTGGCCCTGCAGGGAGCTGTGCCTGAGGCTGCTGGAGCACAGGCAGGGAGGGAGCTGGGGCAGAGCCTGGCATAGGGCTGGGGCCAGGAACCATGTCTGGGGGGCAGGGCATCTGTCTGTCCTGGAGCTCTCCATACCCCACCTTTTTCAGTCCCAGTAGGGCCTTCCAATGTAGCCAAAATGTCCTCATTCAATGCTGTATCTCCCTGCCACTCTTCCCTGAGGGGCCTTGCTGCAAGTGGAATGTGTTTGGAGGAGTTCACAATTGTTGTAGCTTTGTGCTTGGGATCTTTTTCATCAGGAAAAAAATTGGGATCTTTTTCAGGAAAAAAAATTGGCTTCACTAGGTTCTCTGGAATAAATATTTGGAGATGAACCTTACAGGAAATGAAAATTCATTGAGCGTTTTAGTTTTTATTTTTTGGGATGAGAATGAGAATTCCTATTTTTTTCCCCATTTCACAGAAAATGTCTCATCCATGAGACTGTACTTATGGAGTGAAATGTAAAAAACAAGGCAGGGTAAAAAACAGAATTTGATATCTTGGAAGAGAACTGTAATTGCCATCCTATATATGAGATGTATAGAAATATAAATTTTAATTACTTATTAACCACTTAAATTATATATAGATATAAAATGCATGCTTTAAAACTTTACAGAATATATATATAATTACTCTGAGAAAATATATTATGATTCACTTTGGAGTTGTCATTTTATTGATGTGTCTGCAGTAAAGGACTGTGCTATGACACTATCATTATAAGGCAAGTGTGTACCAGTGCACTATTTAAGATACACAGGCTATTGAAGTCTGTATTTTTCTAACAGTCACTGCTTTTGGCAAGCCTTGATATCCCTTCTTTCTTTGATTTGGTTTTAGTTGTGTTAAGTAGAGTTGAACTCTGAATGCTCAGTGTGACAGATAATGAATTTCAGCCATACTCTGTGTCCTCACTGTGATATCCTGCTGGATTGTGTGCGGAAAACAGTTACTATACATTAAACAAGCCAGATATGCAGATGTATGCTCTGCAATTGCATCTAAACTCTCTAAAACATATCTGGTAGATTCCCTTACTAGAAGTATATGTGAACTACTCAATGTATGAATGACTTTATGTATGAACTAGCTATTGCAGAAATTCACAGAAACCCTAACGTCAATATGTTTCATCTTGGTATTAGCAGATTTCTGCCTTGGAGATCCTTGTGGAACAAGTTCAGCTACGTGTGTTTCCTTACATAGCAATTACACCTGCGTGTGCCAATATGGATACTACTACAGCAATAAGCATTGTTTCAAAGGTGAGTTGCAGAAGGGCATCAATGCTTTTAGTTACCTGCTCAGGTGGATTTTGCTTCCCATATAGCTTTGTTGTCATGTTATAATTGAAAACACAATCAGTCTGGGAAAGTGACTGCTGAGTGATTTCTTGCTTTGCAGGCAGCCACTCCTACAATGACCTAGATTGCAATCTTGCAAAACAGTGACAGCCAAGGAGGTTAATGTTCTAGGAAAAGAAGGTGAATTCTCTGTCAGGAGTGCAGGAGATTAAAATGAGTGAAAAGCAGGGAAAAAAAATGCAAGTGTAAACCTGACATTGATATTAATGACAATGATTTAAAAAAGAGCAAACTTGTGAACAACCGGATTGATTTTCCCCATTGCTAAACACTCATCAGAGTCCTGTGGAAATGCATCTCTGAAATGCTTCTGAAGGCCAAGCATGTGGGAAAATAGGGCTTCTTATTTAAGGATCAGCAAGCAGGATTCTCAAATTTACTTGTGAGGCTTAAGAAGCAAGTTGATTCTGAATTACTTTCTCTGTAAACCACAGTGAACCACATTAGCTGCTTAATAGCTTCAAATTTGGAGTACTTGATATACATTTTTTCTCACCAAATTCTGTAACACCTTGCAAAAAGTCTTGTAGCTTCAGGCCACGTGACAGTTTAATGTTACTTGGTTTCATATACAGGACAGATTGTTTGGGCCCAGGATCCTGCCTTCTACCCTGGCAGCCAAAGTATATCCCCCATTGTGACTGAGTTGATTTGTCCTCTGCTAATCCCTGCTGTAGATGAAAAATAGCACTGATTTATTTTCTGCATTGTATTTCCCCATCCCTAAAAGCTGGAGAACTCTAAGGTGAAACTGGGCTTTCCTGAATGCTTTCTAATTTACACTCTCTGTTCTCATTCCAGGGAACGTATACCCAGTCTCCATTGTAGTGAGCACACCTTACAGCAAAAATCTTGAAATTTTAAATTCCACAGAGTATCAAGAACTGTCCAACAATGTATCAGCATTTGTGAGTGACAATGGTTTTTCCTCCCATATATTTAAAGCTATTTTAGATGTCATGCAGACAGAGAGGACACTCTCTTTGATGTGGGGCCTAGAAAAGTTCCTCTCTACAAGAGATCTGCTTCTTTCAAAGAATGCTTCACATTAGTTTAGACCTATTTATAAAAGACTTGAATTTTGCCCTCAGATGAGCATGTGCATGGCTCTTGCTAAAGTGAAGGGAATCCCTGAAGTAATATCTGCATTTTTAGTACCATTTCTGTTCTGGGGAGTTCTCATAAATTGCTCTCCATCTTTGACCATTCCTTCTCCAGAAACAATGGGGCTGAGTGACGTTTTCCAGCCTATTGAGTTTCTGATCCCTGCTGTTTGCTGAAGGCTCAATAATACTCAGTGGTATGAGTAAAAATGAATAACTTTAATTTTTTTAGAAAGAAAATTATTGGCTCCACACAGCACAAACTTTTCCAAATGGCTGACCAGCTGTGTCTAAATACCAAATAACAACCCTCTTCCATAAGTCTGCCAGTATGAGTATTTTAGTGTTTTTAGTGAAATGGATACTGCACATTTTTTATAATTCTATGATTATACATAATATTTGGTAATAGATTTCCTGAAGAAATAAGATGATCAGTTTAATTTATACTGCCATGTTGAAACAAGTGGACTTGCTTATTTCTCTGTCTGGCAGTTAGGAAAAATATATATGCAACTCTACCAGACATCTGATTAAAAAATACTCACAATGTTAATCAGGAATGATCAAAAATGGTTATCAATTTCTGCATATTATTATATTGCTTACTATGAATCTTGTCTCAGAAAGTGACCAAAAGTTGTTCCTCCAGAATGTTAAAAAAATTTCTCAATTTTTTGTCCAGCATTTTTTTCATGATATGGCTACAGAAGAGCATCATATGTCGACCAAAATAAATACATAATAGAGTGCAAAAGTGAAAATAGCATAGAAAGCAATTGGAATTTTATTACAAAGAAAGAGATAGAGTTAATCTTTCATTCCAGTTGAATCAGACATCTTATCCTCTTCTCATGGGGCCTCCTGCTTTTGTGGCAGTTGAAGGCCGCTGCCTCCACTGGTTGTTCCCTTCTTCACGTGGGATGAGGGAAAGCAGTGATGTATCTTCTGATCTGTTGAGCTCCCAATGCTTTCATCAGTGCTTCCTCCCACAAGACTGACCCTGATGATCCCACTTCACTGCCTCCCAGGGACATGTGCCATCTGTGAGGAGGTCAACTTCTCCCTCTTCCCCCTCCTTGTACTCAGACTGGGGCTACTGAGACACCCTCCTAAGCAATGAGCTTGCAAAGGGGTATCTGTAGCTCTCAGCCAACCCAGCCTGACATTCATTCTCCATCCCTCCACTGCCCTCCCATCCATATTCTAGAGCACCACCCCACTGTTCCTCTTCTGCAATGCCTTTCCTGGTGGATATAGCACATCACCTTCCTTTATTTGTGCCTATAGTAGCATATTCTGTATAAAAACTTTACTGCTGAAGCCTCAGTGGTTCATGTGATTTTGGGCTATGTGTCTGCTTGCCTTGAACTCCAATTTCTTTCTCTTTTATAGTTTAAGGAGGCCTTCAAAAATCTATCAGGATATGTAGAAACTGTCATCAAGAAAATTCAGTAAGTTTGCTGGTTTGTTTTTTGCATACTACATACTTCCACATACCTCATTTTAATCTGTTTCCTGTGAAGTTCTCAATTCAATAAAAAATATGGGATGAGTTCAGCTCAGAATGCTTCCCCATAAAGGAGGGATGCTGGCCCCATTTTTACCCCAGTGTTTCTGTGAAATGGGCAGGCTGAGGCAGCCCCACACTGTATGTCCTGCTGCTAGCACCATGTAGGATGCAGCACTGTGCTGTAGCTAGCAGTCCTGTGATATCTTGACATGTCTGAAATTCTAACAGTTAACTCTGAGTTCCTGTGACCAGTGGGAGTGCCACCCAGCTTGGAGTCCCAGTTTAATTAAAAAAACCCTCGTTACAGAAGGCATAGCAAATGTATTTTATTGTGCATTTGTTGGTGTCTCCTGATGGCAGGTTGAGCAAAGATGCTGCTGAATGGGTTGTGGTGTAGCTGTGGGCATAGGTCCGTGGCTGGTCTAGGTAGACCCTGTGAGATGTCTTTTTCCCCATCCCCATCTGTCACAAGTTACTGACCCCAGAGCTCTGCCAGCTCCTCTGTGTTTCCTAACCCCTATGAAGCAAAACCTGGCATGCTAGCACACAATGTCAACCCTTCCAGGGCACCCCAGGGATTAAGCAGCTAAGCAGAATGTTGTCCTAACAGAGCTTGGGGGCAGTAACTTCCAGCAGAGCAGCTGTGACGTGGGGCACAGTAACACCTCAAGGAATGCAGCAGTCTGCTACTGCAGGATATTTGTGTGCATATCCTGGCACATATCTTTAGCTGAAGAACAGGGAAGTCACTGCTGCTCTCCACCTCACACCAGGGAGGTTGCTGTGAGCTGAACCCAACCCAGGTAGTGTGTGGCCTGCACAGATACCCGTACATGGCAAACACCCCTGTCTGCATTCATGGTGGTCACACCCTGAATTATCCTCACCTCCCTTCAGGGTGGGTTCTCCACGTCACGCCTGGATAAACCCACAGGCTGGTGGAAGTTAGGGTCTAAGAGATGAGGTTCTCCACATTGCAGCTGGTTTGAGGTTAACCCAGCTAGAAAATGCTAGTTCTGTATCAAAAGCACACAAAGGAGCAGTGCTGTTATCATTAAATCCAGCAGCTACCTATTTACACCTGGACCTACTGGAAAGATATCTGTTAATGTATTCCTGAGCAAGACTTACACTCATTTTCAGGTCTCTTGGCAACTACCTACTTTATGGGGGGAGGGAGGGAGATTTGGCAGACTTTCTCTCATCTTTGCATGTAGCTTGCATGTAGGTAGCTTTGCTAGCTTGCTATATGGATTATGTGAGACTTTAAAATGGTCCTGTCTGTCCCTTTCAGACCTCTAAACCAGAGTGAAAACAGAAATTCTGATCCAGGACTGAATATAACAGTGACAAACCTGTTCACAGATGAATCAGATCAAAATGAAGCTACAGTTACCAATGCAATAGGAGCTGCAATCAAGAATGGCCAGTCCTTTGTCAAGTCTTATCAGGGTATGTAACTCCTTGCTAGGGAAGCAGCTAATCAGCAGAAACAGAGATTTTTAAAACCTGGTTGGAAGATTTCTGTGGGCATAGGAGCCCATCAAATCATAAGCCTTGTTGATTTTAAGGAGCTGAATGTTCAATCTCGGGTCATTTCGATGAGTCAACAATTCAGTGCTAGTCTCTTTAGCCTTATTAAGGCTTCCTACTCCCTGTGTAAAGAAGAAAAGGTAAATATTTTTCCCTGGTAAGCGATGGCATGGTGGTTTTAACCTGCTGAGTGTTAAGAAGTGGGAAAAATCAGGATAAAATCTATACAGATATATATTATGCATCTGAGAATAAGCCAGTATTTTACTGGCAAAATAGGATTAAACTCTCTTTAGATTTCTCCCATAATAAGCCATGGTAATTGAAATGAGGCCTCACTGATTAGCTACTGAGCTAAGGCATCTGTTGATCTAAACCAGTAGTCTTGCATTATTAAAGGTGTAATACTGGGAGAAAGAATTTGAAATTAAAATAAGGATGTTTTTTCTTTTTTTTTTTTTTTTAAGTTCCTGTTTTGAAATCAGCTTTTTAAAAAGGCATAGCTAATAATAAAGAGTCCATTTCATGGCTTAAAGCCTGAGTTTGTTGTGTGAAGGTGACTGTATCCTCAGCTGTGAGAAGGAAATAGAAAACCACTGAGAGCTCCCAAGGCACCAGTGCAGTCACATCCCTCTACAGCATGCCATGCACTGAGGTCTTTAAACCATTCCCACCACAAGGACATGGATCTAAAGAGCAACACACTGGGCAAACAGGATACCAATGCTGCTCATGAAATAAGTGCAAGCCCATAAACATTTTCTGGGTCTCACAGCTCAGTTGTGGAAAAAAACTAGGAGAACAGTTATGATTTTTCTCTGTAGGGTTTTTGGTTTGTTTGGTTTTTTGGGTTTTTTTTGTTTGTTTGGTTGGTTGGTTGGTTGGTTTTTTTGGGTTTTTTTTGTTTTTTTTTAAAGTGAGTCCCAAAGTGAGTTTTCAGAATATGAACTTACAGGAAGAATGTCTCTTTTCATGGACTGGAGCCAGGAAGGTCTGGAGATAGTTGAAGGAGGCTGAGAAACAAAAGGTCAGAAGATGTGATGGAAACAGGACCACAGCTGTTAAGAGCAAGGAGGGAAAAAGGGCTGGTCTGACAGTCTGCAATATTGATGTCCCAAGAAAAGGAGTTATAATTTTTTTCTATTTAGAATTATTAAATAATTGGTTTATGATTTACTGGGCAGGTGCACTGCTTTCTATGAAAGGGTATTCAACTTTGCTCCCTGTTTCTCTTTTAAAGAGGCAAAACATTGTGAATTTTACGAATGTGATCCTAAAACCACAGAGTGTGAAGAGAAACGGTTTCCAGAATGCAAATGCAAATTTGATTTACAAAAGACAAAATGGAATAATTATTCTTGTCCAGGTAAGAGCCTTGCTGCTTTCTCTATCCTTGAAAGACTGATCTGCTTCTTCCCTGTCTTGGTCTCTCTTTGAGAAAGGTGCTGGGCAAATGTGCTGACCTCTAAAAATCAGGAAATGTGTGTCCTGTTAAGAAAGCCATAAAAACACATCCTCACATTTCACTTTGAACAAATCTATAATTTTATTCCAGCAGAATAAATTATTAAAACTTGATAAAATCATCACTGAAACCAGTGAGTAGGCAAGTCCTTAAATGCACTGTTAAGAGTCTTGGTAAGAACTGAAACCTAAGCAGGTAAAGGATGGAACCAATTGAATCCTATACTCACAGCCTTCTCTGCTAGGACATATTTTGGGAATAAATTCTACAGGTTACTTGAAGAAAGCTGACAGAACTGGAAGTCTCATGATGCACTACAATAACCTGTTAAGGCTCTGTCTCTCGTTCATAATTCTAGATTTGCATTACCTGGATTTAGACAGGCATTTGTGAGAAGAATGATTTCTGTCATTTTTAGAAACTGTTAGTTTTTAGGAAATTATTTACTTTCTTGTTTTGAGTCTTAGAGTGAGTGCTCTGTTTATATTTTAGCTACCCTCCAAAGCCCTGTGATGTACCTAGTTTTCTTAGAAATACCTTCTTTTCTTCCTATGGAAACTAAAACTTTCACACTACAGAAGTAAAAAAAAAAAAAAAAAAAAAAAAAAAAAAAAAGTCTAACATGTAAGATTTTAAGAAAAACAAAAAAAAAATTTCAAAACTCCAAGTTAAAGTTATGAAAGCTGGCTACAATAAGTCCCAGTGAGATGTGATCCAGTGTAGGCCTTTGTGGTCCCATGCCTGACTGGAACTGATACAGTTTGCCATACAAATCATCTGCTGTGAGATCAAACTTCAGGCCATTGCTTGCCTATGGAAGATGCAGCCTAGCCAGATTTCCTTTTTGATGAAGTTGGATGGTTTTGAACACAGCCTGTTTACTTCTAATTTTGTGATTTTACATTCCAGTTTTTGCTTTACATGGGTACAGTCCTAAAAAAGCCATTTGGATGCTTTAAAACACAGGAGAGGGGTGGGTGTGTGTTTAGAGCAATAAAACAATCTTCTACCTGCAATTCACTTATGTTTTTCTCCCTGAAAATACAGTTTGCAGTGCAAACTGCTCTGCAGCAAAACACAAGTACTGTATACAAGAAAAAGATGGTCCAACATGCAAATGTATGGTTAACTTCAAAAGGGAGGCTGGAGAATGTGTGGCGTGAGTATTCAGCTTTTTATTGCATTCCTGTGCTGTAGGTGAGGGCAGGGGAGGAGAACATCGGCCACAGGGCCAGCTGCAGGCCAGAACAGGCTGCAGGAACATGAATCAGAGAGCTGCCCAGGGGAGGGCAGGGGGTGTCACAAGCTGTGGTGTCACAAGTTATGGGTTTTCACTCCTTGGCATTAGTCCTTTGTGTGCACTCATAACACCTGGGAGGAGAGGAAGGAGACCCAAGGTCACCCCTGAGTCAGTGAGGACAAAGTCCTTCACCACATCAGCACAAACTGCTCTGGCAGCGTGGCTGAGCATGGGAGCTGCTCTGCTGAAGTGTTTAGTAAGCAACAGGTATTAGAGCAAGATGTGCCTCCAGTCCCTGCAATGTTTGCACTGCTATCAGTGGGGACTGTTTCCCAATAACTTTCAGACCTTAATTCCTGCTTGGTTTCCTCTCTGAAATTATTTCTGTCAGCTCAGGATCAGAACAGAACAAGGGTGTTTGCTGGTGAGGCCAAGTGAGTGACTGGTTGTGCTCTGCTCTGGTGGATAAACAGGGAGACTCACTCCCCATATCCATTGATTCAGCTCTTTTTGTTGTTATTATTGCTGCAAATTGAACATTTCTTACCATACAGTTGATATATTTTAAATATCAGAAGCTACTATGAGAAGAAGGTAGAGTTACCTGTCCTTATAGACCTTATACTGAGGCTTTTGTTAAAGACATTGCATGGCAATTCTAAGTGGCTCAAAGATGCAGAGTTTAGTTCTTTAGAAAAATTAGGTTCTTTTAACATTTTTCAGACTGAGATCCTGAAACGTTAAGTGGCAAGATCACCAATCACTCTGAAAAATCTCAGATTGTTTCACTTTAATGAAAGTAACAGTAAGATAGGGTAAAGAGGAAACCTGTAAGGAACACACTTTGTGGAAAAATTGCTGATAAAGGGGTGAAATATATTATTGTTTTGTGATCATAGAATGGTTTGGATTAAATGGGACTCTAAAGGTCATATTTTCTTTCTTTCTTTCCTTCCCCTTTTTCTCTCCTGTAGTTGTCCAGTGGGCTACTCTGGGGAGGACTGCAGTGACAGTAAGTATAAGAATTTCTGATTTTTAATTATGGTCTTGAAAAATACCTAGTAATGCTTAATCTGTCTGAGATAACAAAAAAGTGGTAACCTTTAGGGGTGCCACCATTCTTCATTTATAGAAGGACTTTGTTAGGGGAAAAGAAAGTGAAATTTCTCTGTTGTCTTATGTGCCTAGGCCATGGGAAGAGCCTATTTGACACCTAACTACATAGTTTAGCATCAATACTAGCTTAAACAACCCCTACATCCTCCCAGTTGTTCCTGTCCCTCACCTATAGCTATGTGTAAAACCATTCAGTGCACAGCATTAGGACCCAGAGCTGGAGTCAAAACATCCATCCATCCGAGATGGTCTTTAATGCAGATCCTTAATTTACATCTTTCTGTGTCCACAAAATGTTGTAAGCACCAGGAGCCTGAAAATAAATCCCTTCCCCTTCCCTCGTTTTTCAATATTCACTGTGAGTTATCAGTTGACACATTTCTTTTTTGCTGTTTTTCCCCCCAGACAGTGAACTCATCCTTATAATAGTGGGCACAGTGTTTGGAGCCATTATCCTGTGTTTAGTGATAGCAGTCTCTGTTATTTCAGTCAGGTAAGAATATTTCTTACAGTTGAATAGAAACTGCTTTGCTGTGTGTTCAAAATAAGGATTTTGCACTAGCTAAAAAAAACTCTATGCTGTAAAAATCTGTTGCATGCTTCAGAATGGAGCGGAGCATTCAAAACAAGGTGGGAGTGGACAAATCTCTAAGTTGGACTTAAAAAGTAAGGCACACTAAACAGTGTTTTAAAATCTCCTTTGTTCTTTCATCTCCTCTAAAGAGCAAGGCACAAACAAAATCCAGAGAAGAGGAGCCTGATCCAGTCAGGGTATTCTGACACTGATGACAGACCAAGCATGTTCCCCAGGGTCCAGACCACCTCTGGCCATGCAAACCCAGGATATCAGCCCAACAACCCCTATGAGATGCGTTCCAGAAGCAGAGATCATTTTCCAGAGAGGGATTATGATGATTTGGTAAGTGTTTCACATGGTGCTGGGGGAATGGAATGCCTGAACAGCAGCACTATGGGCTACAGACATTATTGGAACCTAAGCTCCCCTCTGTACATCCTCCCTTGGTCTAGAAGGCCAAAGTGGTATAAAGGCACCCAAACAACTGTAGCTGCAGCTGAAAAAAATTATCTTAATACAGAAATTTCCTCAGTGATCAGCACTCATGAAGACCTTTCTAGTCATCCTTGAGCCACAGGAGGGATATGTGAAAAGCCAGAGTCAAAGCAAGAGCTTGGCTGCCCAGTGGTCTACTCTGTCATGGGATATTTGCACCAGCCAAACTCATCCCTCAGCACAGGTGTGCTGCAAGCATCACCGGCTGCTGCCACCTGAGCTTCTTTTGGGCTGCTGTAGAGTCAACAGGAGCTGCAGTGGCACCTCCCAGCTGCAGCCTCATGCAAGATTCACAGTCAGTTTAAGCTGGGACTGATGCCCAGGGGGTTGTGTCCTCCTGCCTCCTTCACAGCAAGAGCTCCTGCAGCTGCTGCAGCATTGCAGAGGGGAAAGGTGTGAAGTGCCATGAATAATACAGAACAGTGTTTGCACTGCTGTGGCCCAGGGGAGCCTGGTCAGCAGAGGTGTGTCATTATGTGAAAGGCATATTCCAAAAAAAAAAAAAAAAAGCCTGATTTATCCTTGAATTCTGCAAGGGAGCCACAGAGGAAGCAGAGGCTTGAGATTAGCTCAGTTTGGGTTAATAACACCAAGGTTGTGGGATCAAACCCTGTATGGGCCATTCATGCAAATGTTAGACTTGATGACCTTTGTGAGTCCTTATTTCTCTTCTTTTCTTGTCTGAAAATTCTCTGTAGTATGAAATATCACGGGAGCCCACAGGCTTTAGGAAACAGAGCAGATACTGAGTGACCAGAGCAGCAGAAGGATGGACGAGCACCACAGCCCTGGGTCAGAGCAAAGAGTTTCACAGCCTCTCACCAATGCAGTACTTCAGCAGAAGAGACAACAAGGACCTTAACCCCAGATTCTCTCAAGATTTCCTAGAGGAACATTCCTGCTTGAAAGAGATCATGGACAACTTTGAAATAAGGGAATAATTTTAGGGAGTAGGGAGAAGAAGAGGACTTCTTTTAACAGAACTAATGTGCTCCAATAAACATTAGACTTCTTCAATGAGGCCAGTCCATTGGCAAGAGAGTGAGTGCACACAAGATACCAGGATTTTAACCCTGCTGGTTTTCAGCTCTTCTGGAAGCTCTTCTGAAAGCTCTTCTGGCCCAGGCAATATGTGTGATGCTGAAGAACATCAGTTCCCAGAGCTTCACTTGGATTTGTGCTCACTTAATTTGAACTACAGCTTTGGGCAGATGAAAACTGTTTTTCAAGAGAATCTGACCTGTTTCAATTTACTGTATTAGATACAGGGTTTTTTCACTCTCCTCAACCCCTCAATATTTCCCATTCTGTTCAGATTTCTGCTGACATAGGTTGTGTGACACAATGGCACTTGTCTGACTTTTTCCACAGCCTTCTTTCCCAATACAATGGCAAGATACAATATCTCCAAACAAACACTATTCTTCTTCATCTTGCAAAACTGCATTGATTTTACATTTTTAGCTCCTGTGGAAAGTGTTAGCCTTTTTCTTTCTTCTCCAGTCTTTATGTTTGAATGATAATAAGCTTGGTGTTTGGGTTTTTAAAAAATTTCTTACACACAGTCAATAAATCAGTCTGTAAAAGAATTTATATTTTACTGTGTTTTACTGAGTGTGCATTATCTGTTGACTGGCATTAACATTATATTTATATAAAATACTTCTTTGCACACATATGTACATATATTTATAGATTACAATCATTTATATAATCATTTAATTCTGTTGTATTTTGTGTTTTGGTTTTTATATATGCAGATTAACTTTTCCTATTAAACATTATTTTTTCTCAGTACCAGGGCTTTCTTATGTTCCTCCCAGTGATTTAAGTGTTTGGTTTTTTTTAAACTCCAGAGACGTTTTTATGTTAAAATTTAGGCAGAATTTAGACACAAGTGTGCACAGACTAGTTTCAGCACCCAGGTTTCACTCAGAAGTTCAGAAATGTTATTAAGTATTAATGAAGTTAAAATGTTTATTGTTGTGAGACTTGCACCAATATTCAGTGAGTTTTTTTGGTGGCAACTGTGTAGTTACTGCAGCCGGATCTCCTTTGAAATGCTGGACAAGCTACTGTGTCTGATGGCAGCTGTTAGTGGCCCAGATGACAAGAAGTGTCTTTCAGCTTAAATGGCAAGTTTGGGGGTCAGTGGCAGAGAACACTGTATGTGGCTGCAGAGATTACCAGGATTCCATGCAGATGCTTGTTTCCAGTCTCTCCATGATCAAAACCAGCTCCCATTTGGCAGCTGAGTGATTGAGACCTAAACAGTCCTGATCTTTCTCGTGTGGCTTCTATAGCAAAAGGAGGCAGGCCCTGCTTTCTCAGCCTGGTGAGAAAAGGTGCCATTTTCTGTTGTTTTCCTGAGGTTTCACTGTTTCTTCCAGTTCACTCCTGTCCCCTTTGCTGCTGTCAGCTGGCTGCTCAGTGTCTGCCATGGGCAGGGTCTGTAGGAGAGCAGGGTCTGGTGGGCTCAGCCAAGCCCACATCTGTGTGCATCTCTGCACGCTCAGCTGGGTTTAACTGCTCATGACACCTTGCTCATGGGATGGGGAGGGATTTGCTCTTATCTTCTTGACTTTTCCTCTGAGAGTACTGTCCTGAGGTGCAAACCAAGGTAAGGTGGCTACACTTATCACAAGAGGCAGAGAGACTCCTCCCCTTTTTCCTCTGGCTAGAAAAGCTGGACCAGCTCCCTCCCCCAACAATTTAATGGGTGCCCCCCATGCCTGCTGCCCCTTTTTCTCTGAGCCCTGTTATTCTCCACAATAACCTGGGTGAAGGAGATGCCCCCAGCTTCTAATCCTTCTGCTCAGTCCTTTTCTTTCCCCCCTTTTCTCTGGATTTTCAGCAGCAGGAAAAGGTTCTGGTGTCTGCAGCACTCTGTTAACCCCATGCAGACTCCACTCTGGGGAAGTTTGCATGTGGTGAGACACTGGAAAATGGATGGGATAAAGGCAGAATCTGGCCAAGTGTTATCTCCTATTCTTTTGCAAAGCAACAGAGGCTGGAAATGCAGGTGAATGCTGAATGAGAAACTTTCATGCAGTAAAACTTTATTGAGGGTGTGATATCCTGACATGTGCTATCACTGGTAATAAAACCAGCAAAACCTGTCAGGTGTTTGCATCATTTAACTGCAGAGGAATTTTCATTGCTCTAATTCAAAGCTAATTTCTGCAACTGCTACCAGTTGTCATCTAGCCCATTTCATGGGGAGGGGCAATCAGATAGCACTGTGAGCCTGCTCCTTTTTAGCATTTCAAAGGCTGTTACAGTTCTTTTATCTGGACTGGAAATCTGTACCGAAAGGGCAAACTCCCAGATATTTCACTTCTGTCTGTCTATTAGCAATGTGTGACTATTCTGGGAAATGCCATCATGCAAAATAGCTCTTTGTTGAGTTTTATGACTGCTGCCTCTTGACTCATGCTTTGTTTCAGCTGCACATGCTTCAAAATCCAAGTAGGCAGAGGAAAGGAGCTGAGTTGGGTCCTCAGTGTGAGTGTGGACATGCCTGCAGGCAGGCTGAGAGGCTCCAGGGATCTGCCACAGCTCATTTTGCACCCTGGGCTCTCCCATCCCTTTTCCCCCTTGAGAGGCAGAGTGTCCTGCAGGCACATGACCCAAAGAGGAGGTGGGAAGAGGCTGCCACTCAAATCTGCCACCAACTGTTATCCTAGACCAGAAGCCACCCTGGAGAGTGTAATTGCTTGGCATGTCTGTACAGGGTGTGCTCAAGGAGCTGGGACAGATGTGTGCCTGGTTATAACACATTCTTGCTTGGGAATTTTGGGACAGCTTCAGCCATATACCATTCTAGATTTATTTAGATATACCCAAGCATATTCCAGCAATGTGGGGTGGGAGGGGAGGGCATGGTGGGTGCTGTGGGTGGCAGTGGGGTAAGAACCTGGGTCTGGGCAGGGGCCTCAGAGGAGCTGCAGCTCAGGAATGTAATGGGATGGCAGGGTAGGAATGGGTGGGGTGATCAGGCCCTGCTCACACCTGAAACCATCCCCAAAACTGAGAGCTAAATCTCTGCATCCACATTCCCCAGCAAAGCCCAGCATTCAGATTGCAGGTGAAAGCAGCACCTTTCAGGCCTGAAAGCAGGCAGCACTTTGCATTTTTCCTGGCTGCCTGTTGGAGGCAGCCACCCCTTGTTTCCTCCAGGAGACTTTTTATGCAGGTCCTGCATGTGATGTGCCAAGCTGGAGGCATGAACAAGCAAAAGTGAACAATGAAGGTAAGATGCCACTGCAGGGCTTGACTTTTCACTTCTTGTGTACCTTAAGTTTGATGGCTGGCTGTTTTCAAGGTGAATGACAGAGTTCCTTCCAACAGGAGGAACAGGGGTAAGGAAAAAGAAGCCTCTCCTCTGGCAAGAGGTTTTCATCTCCTTGGCTTCCCAACAGAAACTCCTGGTGTGGAGAGTGGGGAAACTCGGGTGTGGGTTGGAGGGATTCAGGCAGGTGTCCTGGTGAACATGACTGCTCCTGGTTTATGGGAGACCACCTTAACTTCACCTTAACTTCACCCAGGCTCAGGAAGGTGACTGGACCTTGGTACAACCCAGAGACAGAGGATCCTGCTGGTAATTTGTGGTTCAGTGACCCACAATCTACAGCAAGGCCAGCCTAGCCCTGCCTCCTCTGTCACTCCTATGAGAGGAGGACTGTCATTTGTCAAGTTTGGCAGCTGCAAAGTCACCAATTGCTATTTTATCCAAATTTCCAACCCTTCAGCCTTTTAGCTTTAGCCCAGTAATGCTCTCTGTTTCAATGCCATGTGTCTGGTGTTGGTGGGGGGAATATGGAGCAGCTTTGCTTACTAAGGGTTCTCAGCAGCATTAAAGCGACCTCTCCCAGGTTTTGGGGTGTGGGCTGAAAACACTGTTTTTTATAGCAACTTTAAAAAAAAAAAATCCTCAAACCCAACTCTGAAAGCCCAAAGTGGTCTAAGAACAAAGAAACCCATAAAACATGTCAGGTTACAAACAGGAAAGAAACAGGGCTAAAAATAAGATCTGTACATTGCCTTGCCAAGGATGCTCTAGCTGCTGATAAAAGGCTCTTTAAATACACCAAAGCCACAAAGGCAGCTAGGAAATCAGTGGGAATGCTGACTACAAGGGTATAGAAGGGCAGATGGGGAGGATGATGATGAAGCAGAGAAAGCCAGTGGTAACTTTGTGGCTGCTTTCACAGCTGAAGCTGTTGGGGAGCTCCCCACGTCTGCCGGTCTGCAGTGCTGGAAGAGCTGGAGCAGCTGGAAGGAGAAGGAAAACACAGAGTGAAGAGGTAACAGGAGTAAAGGAAGGGTAAGTGAAACCACTTTCATTGAAGAGGAGGGATGAGGTCAAACAGGAAAAGTGTTTGTTAAAGTGGCTGGGACCAGGCCCTGATCCTGGGGAGCCAAAGGAGCAGCACATCCCATGGTGCAGGTGTGGGGGCTGTGGCACCCAGCAGCATTGCCAGGCACACCCTGCAGGCTCACTGAGGTGCACAGCCATCATTAAAGGGTTTCCAAAGCTCTGACTCAGAGTGGCAGCCAAACACCCTCCAGAATCTGGGGTACACAATGCTAGAGAAGGTCAGTGTCAAGCAGACAGAAAGAAGCCTACAGGCACAGTTGGTGAACTTGCTGGATGCTGTGGATGCTGCATCTGCAGGTTCAAAAGGAGATTAGTCAAATTCAAGGATGCAAATGCATCCTTGAGAGATGCAGCCCCTAACAAAAGGATGAGAAAGTGGAGGTGC